TTAAAGCAATTACTCTCACAGGACCATAATATTGTATCCACTTTACCTATTGGTCATACTTGAAACCAAATTGGTCTATATGGAAACCAAACCAAAGAAACTGAGAGAACAAAATAGGAAATAAAATACCTGAAAAATCTCACCACCCCAGACTGGAAGGACTGTGCTTACGACCAAGATAGAGAGATTAGATGTAGGTTGATAGATAGACATAGAGAAACGTTTACCTTAGATCAGCACTGGTGAGGATGTTAGCTTCTGGAATTGACCAACTAGATATTAATATTAGAACACTTCTAAGCTAGAAGAAATGGAAAAGGTGGTAGTAGTGGTGGGAAATGAGAGGAAAAGGAACACTAAGGAAATAACAGAATGTCGGGGGGCAAGGCGACAGCTAAGTGGAATCCTCTAACCGCACCCCCTCCACATCACATGAATGCTCAGCTGGCCCCTCTGCCAGAGTAGCTTCCACATGAGGCATTTCTGTTACTCAGAAGAATGGTGAAGAGGTTCTTGGATGTGTTGTTTACACATTTGCCGGGTGCCAAGAGTGAACCGGGATTTGACAAACAAAGGTCCCTCCTGGGTAGCCTCAGAGTCATGGTATTCCCTCATCTGTTATGAATGTTAATTGAGACAGTAATATCTTCATGTATTTCTTTTTAATATTTCAGATCTTTATAATGATGCCTCATTTTTTAAGAATGTTTCATAAAATGGGAGAGAATTATGGTTGAAATTAATGCGGTCTCAAAATCAGTATTTTAATCACACTGAAAGACTGAAATTGTGAAGCTGTGACTCCCTATGCTACTTCAGTCCAATGTCCTAGCAATGCTTTTAAGTTTTTATTAGCATGTATGGTATTAATTCCTTCCTCTGTGAGAACAATAGGCTCAGTATGTTTGCCCTGGGATTTTAAACTGGGAAATTTTGCTGGCATTTACATCATTAAAAACACACATTAATTTTGCCATAATACTTAGCAATGCCTTATTTTTATTTTTCCTTTTTCAAAAAGAAGTTAGAGTGGAGAGAGAGATTAATTTGGTAACTCAGAGACTGAATTGCTAAAGTAAACCTTACAATGGACATTGAAGAAAAACAAGAAACGAACGGCAAATAAAAGCAGTGCTTTCCCGTGTTGTTATTCATCGGCATTCTCCACCGAAGTGGGCCAGCCAGGGCATTGAAAGGGAGGAGCCTCTTCTACCTGCAGGATTATATCAGACTTGGAGCTACCAACAGCACTAGATTCAGAATCACAAAACCTGAACTTGAGCCCTAGTTCTGTCATTTACTTGCTTTGTGAAGTTAGGCAAGTTATTTTACCCTCTGAGTCTGCTTTCTTATCTGCAATAAGAATTTTTCAGGGTCTTCTAACTTAAACAGAATTTTTCCTGGAATTTTAGGAGGATTATATGAACTCACAAAAGAAGAAGCCACTGAATAATTATTAGGCATTTTTCTTCTTTCCAATTTTAATTAATAAAGGATGTCTTTGAAAATGTGTTGCTGGGAATCACATTTCTTACTATTTAGAGCATTAGGTAGAAAATACCTGGGTAATCATCTGATAACAATTTTCAAAGCACTATGAATCATACCCTACCCCATTGCAAAGGGGTCTGACCTTGACATTCTTTTAGCTCAATTTCTCATCTTATAGACAAGGAAATTGATCCAGAGACGGTAAAGGAGTCACCCGAGGGTCACACAGGTACGCAGTAGCACAAGCAGGATTTGAAGCCTCTCGTTGAGCTCCTGCCATCGCCGTGTTGATACTACTGCAGCTGGGCAAAAGAAATGCCAGGGCACGAGGAGCCCATGAGGTCTGAAGATTCAGGTACTTGCAAATTTTCAGGCAGCTCACTGGTCTGAGCAAGCAGCTGAACCTGGCATGTACTCAAATCAAAAAGAAAAAGGAGCACTCAACCTAACCAGCAAATAAGTACTTCCAGGAATTACGGAGTGGCTGAAACTAACCTTGAAGCTGGCCTATTACTGCCCTTATAAAATTATCCCTACAGCCCACTGTGGTCTAATTGTGCCCTAAATAGCTCTACATGATGGTGGCAACTGAGAGTCTAGACATGACAGATGAGATCAAAATAGACTTGAGGGGCTTGCAAGCTTAACATATACCGTCTTTCCTCCAGGCATCTCACTTTTAGATTAGGCTCATAGCCGAGTCTTTAAAAGCAGATGATACCAGGTGGGCGCACTTCAGGGATACTCACCAGTCTCACTGATGGGCTGTGTGGGATTTTGGTTGAGGCCATTTGGGGAGAACCTTTAGGGCAATGGTATTCCAAGGCCAGTGGGAAGGCGAGTGCTGGACTGGCTGACTGTACCACTATGGAATCATCTGGAGAGACAGCTTTAAGAACTAGAGACCCTCAGGCCACTCCCCTGGAGATCCTCCTTCAGTTAGGCTGTGGTGGTGCTTGGGTATCTCGATTTTTCAGAAGTACTTCAAATGCTTTTATAGGCAACCATTACACTAACTTGGGGTGGAGGCATTTGTGGGGAGCCCTGGCGGTAGGGCACTGGTACCCACCATCCTCTCTACCCACAGCTGACCTGCCTCTTCCTCTGCCTTTCCATCCTCTTCCCTTCTTCAACCAAGATCACAGCTTTGTAAAAATGGCAGGTATGAGGGCTTGCAAGCCAAGCGCCTCCCCTCATGACACAGATGGGGTGACATGCAAGATGATGGCGAAGTGTCCTTGCCTCACTCTGCTCTCCCATCAGTTACTCCTACCTCCACAGTCAAACTGAACTGCCCATCTACCAGAATCAGGGCATACATCTGCAGTGCACCTTTACTCAGTATTGCACTCCACTTTGTGGGAGTATCTATCTGTTTCCTTAGCAGGCCAGGTATTCCTTGAGGTGAGAATGGAGACAACGTGTATAGTTTAGTGACCTCTGTGCCTAGTTCCGGGCCTGGCACATAGTAGGGACACAACAAACAATAAAAAATGAAACACAATAAACAATGAAAATATCAATTAAATGCAACCTCCTTGCTCTCAGGAGTTGGCATGCTCTACACTTTGGCTTTAGAAAAAAAGGATGTTGGCATATTTGTGGAAAACCATGTGTCAGAGAATTCTGTGACTGTTTTTCCAAGGAACTGGTAGATTCAATCCTTGTCTCACTTTCCACAAGACAAATCCTAGGCTGATGAGTGATACAGACACCACAGTGTCACTTCAGGAGATGAACCACATGGCCCCTGGGCTTTACCCATGGCTTCCATGATTCTCAGGGTGATTCAGCCAGTGGCTGTGAACCAAACACGGATGCTGATCTGGGAAGCACAATGAAGTTAAAAGCTGGTGAGCCCACAAGTCAACAGTAAATCAGCCCTTAAATCAACTGGGATACTTTGGGAAGTGTGTAGTCTTCTCAAGTGGATTCATCTTCAGCTGCTCTGAATTAATTTTGGGATTTACAAAATTGGAGTATAGGAATGAGAAAAGGGTGAAAGTTTCAGCTTACACTGGCACCCAGAGAACTCAAGTGCATGAGCAAGAGTTACAGTATACCATGATCCAAGAGACAATTCTGCTTTTTACTGAAAATGAAGATACTGGGGGCCCCAGTTGAGCCTAAACTCTGTTACTTGTTTGGCTGTGGCTTCAGCAAGGCTGCACAACTCTGGCCAGGAGTGAATCTACCAGAAGGTTATGGGACCAAGAGTGCTCTTGGTGAGAATTCATCTCAGGGGAGGAAAGAGTCAGGCTTGGTTTTATAGTGAAGCCTCAGCCTCAAGAGGCAGCAGGAATCTCTACACATCCTGGTGTCTCTCCATCACATTTGTCTCCTGGTTTAGTCCTTACGAACTCTTATATTAGTCTATGGAAGGGAGAGGAATAGGGTGGGGGTAAGGTGATGTGCAGTATATATATATGCAATGGGAATAACTGCATAGTGTGCATGAAGCTGCACCTAGTCGAAGCTGAAATTTAAGACTTCACTTTTTTATCTTTCGAACACCATGTGAGTAGAGGAACTTAGTCCACAGCTACTTGAATGAAAACCTACTGTCGTCTCCAGATTCTTGAGTATCCCCAGATGCCTGAAAGTCTTTCATTCTTGCATCCAAATGGAATTCTCCTATCTACATTGTCTTGTCCTTACCATCCTGGACCATCAACTTCCCCCTTCCTCTGCACAGAGCACACAACACGCCTGTGGCATGGACTATTCCTCTGTCATATGTTTCCCGACCCCCAACCTGGGGATGCAGTTCTTTTCCTTGTTTGCTTTTCTCAAACAATCCACTGTTTGTCCTTGATCTTTTCAGAGAAGAGAGAGGCAAAGAAGCTGTGAACATCTATATGTTAATTTTATATCATCACACCTGTTTCAAACTCTGTAGAGCTTGAGCCCTTTTTTGATATCCCACTAAAGGGAAGAACATAAGGTACAAGGAAGGGATTTTATGATTTTCCCCAGAGCCCTGTACAGCTTTGGCCAAGGTTCCTTGAGGGTTCATATGCAAGGGTGGCCCCAATGCAGTGACGGCAGCCAGGGCAAGTGGAGGTGTGCACTGAGACAACAGTGGCACATTGTCCACAGCACCTGACAGCACTCTAAGAGAAGTGGTACCAGGGAGAGGCAGGGGCCATGCCCAGTGGGAGCATGAGGGCCCTCTGGAGGTGATGGTGATACCCGTGAGAGCAGCACTGCCCTGAAAGAAAGAATCACCGTGGGTTCTGTTGGCTGATGCAGGGCAGCTTCACATGGGTCCACATGCACTTGGCAGCAGACATCACTAAGTGAGTCTCGAGCAGAAGAATAAGAAAAGGATGTATGCCTTCTGGTCACTAACGGAATTATTCGAAGCACAAAAGTGGTATGTGAGATAACCCTTGTGAGCTGGGGAGTTGATGTAGGAGCTGGTGATACCATAACAGCTGTTGCAGTAATAGCCAGTGAAAAACACGTTGTTAATGCTACTGTAATTCCCTTGTTTCATGCTCTTCCAGTGAGTAACCCAAGTCCAGGAGTGAGGATGCCGGGCTTGAAGACACCAAGATTACTTACGACAAAAAGTGACATCAGCAGGTAATTCAACCTGACACACTGATATCCAGGTTTCATTGCAAAATCTAAGCAGGAAGTTCCTCTTTATAATATGAATTATTTTTGGAAGTCCCCAGGAATCTGTGATCAGAAGCCCTGTATTATATGTATTTCTACTATCTGGTTCAGTGTTCTCTTAAATGTAGTATTTCGGAATACCTGCCTTCTTTATAGATCTTTCAAAATGTGTTTCTATTCTTCAGATTTTGAGTGCTAGGGAATTAGATGGATTCATTGTAGTGCTTGTGTTGTAAAAAAATATGGTAAGAATAGGTTTCTAGTATTAACCTACAATTCCTTCACTAAAGATGGATGATGGGGGAAGGAAAGATGGACAGGTGAGTGAAGAGGGAGTAATTTGCTTTAATGCTCCATAAGGTCTTAGAGTAGCTAACATCACAGAGCTTAGCCACTGGACAGCTGTTTCCTCACTTTTTATTATTTAAACACCATTGATATTATAGAGCAAAAAAGAAGAATATTGGACTAGAAATCAACAGATTCATGTCTGCAAATCACTGTGAACCTTCAGATATGTCTCTACTTCTCCCCAGCTCAAATTGCTCATCCAATCAGAGAATTGGACTAAATTGTCACTTAAATACCTTTTAGCTTTAACTTGCTATGATTCAGCTTTTCTTCTGTTGTTTGAATTCGGTAGAGCAATGGTTTTTTTGAGTTTTAAATAAGTGGTGTTACTTCATATAATATATGGATTAACCTTAACATATAAAACAGAGGCAGAAGTTCTGTGGATGCATTGTGGGTGGGAGGTAGATTTGATAATTTCTTGCTACTTTCCTCAGCCCTCTTTCTGGCCCCATGAGTGTGGTTATGCTAGGTCCTAATGCACTAGAAACTAACTGGGTGCATTGGAAGTGATGCAGTCAAAGCCGAAGCTTGGCTGCAGTTGGAGATCGTTTCTGGTTAATTCGGGAGTAAGCTAGGAAGAACATCAGAATTTCAGAGAAATGGCTTATGGGAGAAGGAACTGATTATACCAAACACCAATTTTCTTGCCTCTATTTTCTAAATTCTGTATAAATTTTGCATCAATTTCACACTCCTTGAAAGATGAAGACACAAAGATGGGCACATCCCTGGAGAAGTTTTGGGGCAGACAACTTTAAACCAGATTCAGGGAAAGGAAGATACATTTTAAATTTTATCAAGTAGCATTATGCAGTGACACACCAATAACAAATGCCTATAGCCACATTTTAAATGATGACTTGGAATTTATCCCCACTGCCCTCCTCCCTCCCTTTCAAAATAAGTGTCAAATTGGGATGAGAGAGAAATGTCATCTGTTCTTTTCCCATTCTTCCATCTGATTTGGAAATGAAAGTGATATTGACATTTTATTTTGGTCATCTTTTGTTAGAATCTTAGCTGCAATCCATCATGTTCTCTAAAAATATCAGCAATTCCTTTTGACCTAGTAAAAGACAGTGAGTTTTGAGTTGACTCGCTGACTGGGGTAAGTGATAGACTATGGAACTTTCAGTTCTTTTAGGTAAAGCCTGTTCTTAACATAACTCTGATGGATGGTAGTAAAACACACAATGGGCAAGAAGAAAAAGGAGGCCATGAAAAAAGTAATCATGCTGTTTCCCTCACCTTTGTCTCTCATCTACCTCCCCACAAGAGAATGGTGTGTCAGAGAGACCTTCACCATGAAATTTATAATTGTTACTTTATTTAGCACAGCTCAAGGCTCTGACTCTATCATCAGGGACTGTGCAGGAAAACTTGGAGAAATAGTCATTGAAAGTGAAGGATAAAGAATAGAAAAAACACAAGTTCTCCAGGGTGATGTCATTTCCTGTAAATGAGAATTACCATTCCTTTATCCCTTATTATTCCTAATTCATCCCCTCTCATCTTTAGCTTTGTTTAAACAGTAAGACTGTATTCCTTTAGATTTTAAGCATAAATTTCTCCTTAGTGAGAAATAAAAATCAAAGATTTCTCTGCATAATTTTTTACACTTTTTTTTCCTTTTATTTACTTATCCAAATATTAAGAATTTTTGGGGTTCCTATATACTAAGCACCTATTAAGTGCTGGAGCTTTAAAAAATAAGTTAAACATGATTCCTCCCCTCAAGAAACTCACAATTTGGTTTTTCTACATTGAAATCAAAGTCTGGGTGTAGACAGAGAAGTCCATCAACAGAATATTGTCCTTAACTTACAGGAAACTTAAAAATAAAACCAGAATTAACTGGGACTACTAGCAGGAATGCATGGAGAGAAAGATTAGCTAATTCTTAGTTTTCTATTACAGCTTAGCTACTTATCATTCTCTTCTCTCATTCTCTCCTATGCCATCTAAGTTGCAGGTGCCATGTTATTACACTGGCCCAGAGCCTACCTTCTACTGCGATTGGCAGACATAAGCAGCAACTCAAGCAGAAGCAGCTCACAGGTGCATCTTCTCTTACCCTAAAGGTGTGTCAATTGTAAATATGCAATTTTAAAGGAAAACAAATTCTAAAAACAAACCACTTTTAAGTCCCTTGTAAATCTTCTCTCTATACTAACCTTTACAAGATTAGGTAGTGGGAACCATTTTTACATGTACCTAAATTAATCCTGCCAATGTAATTATGAGGGAGGCATTATTAATACTGAGATATGGAGATTCAAATGGTTGGGTACTTTTTAACCCTGAAAAAGCCCTTTTTACTTTGAATAGTTTGAAAGCTTTATTTGAAAGCTTTGAACTTTATTTTACTTCATTGTGAAAAGAAAACATGAGATCTACCGTCTTAAATTTCTAGTTGCACAATATAGTATAACAGACTACAGGTACAATGTTATATGACAGATTTCTAGAACGTATTCATCTTGCTTAATTGAAGCTTTACGTCTGTTGTTCAGTACTCCTCTATTCCCTCTCTCCCCAGCCTCTGGCAACCACCATTCCGCCTTTGATTCTATGAATTTGTTTGTTTTAAATGCCTCAAGTAAGAGGACTCATTCAGTATTTGTCTTTCTGTGACCATCTTATTTCACTCAGCATAATGCACTCAACATTTTTCCATGTGGTCACATACTGAAGAATCTGTTTTTTTTCAAGGCTGAATATATGCCATTGTATGTATAAACCACATTTTTATCCATTCATCTGTCAATGGGCATTTATATTGCTTCCACGTCTTACTATTATGAATAGTGCTGCAATTAACATGATAATGCTAATATCACTTTGAAATCCCGATTTCATTTCTGTTGGAAAAATACCCAGAAGTGGCTTTACTGGATACCATAGTGGTTCTATTTATAATTTTTTGAGGAAACACCATACTGTTTTCCAGACCAACTGCACTATTTTGCATTCCCAGAAAGAGTGCTCACAGTTTGTCTTTTCTCAACATCCATACTAACACTCATTATGTCTTGTCATTTTGAGGACAGCCATTTTAACATGTATGCAGTGGTATCTCATTGTGGTTTTGATTTGTATTTTCCTGGTGATTAGTGATATTGAATATTTTTACATATGCCTATTGGCCATTTATATGTCTTCTTTGGAAAAATGTCTATTCAAATCTTTTGTCCTTTTTTCCTTCTTTGACCCCCTTCACCCATTTCTCCCAACCTTCCATTCCTCACCTTTCACAACCACCAATCTGTTCTTTTTATTGTGGGCTTTTAAAATTAAGATTCCACATGTAAGACAGATCATTTGGTATTTGTCTTTCTCTATCTGACCTATTTCACTTAGCATAATGTCCTCAATGTCCATTTTGTTGTTTCAGCGGCAAGATCTAGTTCTTCTTTATGACTGAATAATATTCCATTGTGTGTGTGTGTGTGTGCGTGTGTGCATGTGTGCATGTGTGTGTGTGCGTATGTGTAGCTTACTGCTTATGTTCTCTTCTAGAACGTTTATGGTTTCAGGTCCCACATTCAAATCTAATCTATTTTGAGTTAATTTTTGTATATGGTGTAAGAGAGTGGTCCAGTTTCTTTCCTTTGCACATGGGTGTCCAGTTTTCCCAATGACATTTATTGATGAGACTTCCCTTTCCCCACTGTATATTCTTTCCTCCTTTACAGTAAATTAATCAAACAAATATGCATTACTTAATTTCTGGGCTCTCTATTATGTTCATTGATATGTACCTGTTTTTATGCCAATACCATACTGTTTTGATTACTATAGCTGTGATACAGTTTGAAATCAGGAAGCATGATGTACCCAGCTTTCTTCCTCTTTCTCAAGATTACTTGGGCTATTTGGGGTCATTTGGGGTTCCATATACATTTTAGGATTACTTGCTCTAGTTCTGTGGAAAATGCCTTGGGTATTTTGATAAAGACTACACTGAATCGGTAGATTGCTTTGGGTAGTATGGCCATTTTAACAATATTAATTCTTCTAGCCCATGATCTTTCCATTTATTTGTGTCTTCTTCATTTCATTCATCAATGTCTTTTGATTTCTGAATAGAGGTCTTTTTCCTTAGTTAAATTTATTCCTAGGTATTTTATTCTTTTTGTTCTAGTTGTAAATGAGATTTTAAGAATTTCTCTTTTTGCTAGATTATTATTAATATATATAAATGCAATAGAATTCTGTATATTGATTTTTGTATCCTGCAATCTTAATGAATTAATTCATTTATTCTATTTCTTTTTTGTGGAGTCTTTAGGTTTTCAATATACGGTATCATACTATGCACAAATAGTGACAATTTTACTTCTTCCTTACCAATCTGGATGTCTTTGATTTTTTTTTTTCTTATCTGATTGCTGTGGGTAGGATTTCCAGTAGTGTGTTGAATAGAAGTCATCGCCAAGTGGCATTTATCCCTGGGATGCAAAGGTGGTTTAACACATGAAAAGAAATTAGTATGATATATCACATTAACAGAACAAAGGGTAAAAAAATCACATGATCATCTCAATAGGTGAAGAAAAAAGAAAAAGTAACAATATTCAATACATTTTCATGATAAACAGCCTCAATTTGTTTATCCATTCATCTACTGATTAACATTTGGTTTGTTTTCAGTACCTGGCTATTACAAATAAAGCTGCTATAAACAAAAGTATGCAAGACTTTGTGTGACCACATTTTCTTTCTTTTGCCTTTTCTTTAGCCAGTACCTAGGAATGCAATGAGTAGGCCTTTTGTTAGGTATATATTTAGTTATTTGTAAATTACCAAACTCTTTTCCCAAGTGAATTTGCTACTTTACACTGTTACCAATAGTGTATGAAGGTTCTACTTTCTTCTCATCCTCTCCAATTCTTGGTATTAGGTTAATCTTGTTAATTTTAGTCTTGTGTGTAGTGCAATCTCCATAGTTTTAACTTGCATTTTCATGATGACTAATGATGATCATCTTTTCATATGCTTATCTGCTTTTGGTATATCTTCATTTGTGCTGTTCATTCAAACCTTTTCTTTATACTAAGGTGAGAGGGATGTTTGTCTTCTTGTTATTGAATTGCAAGATTTAAAAAAAAATGTATTCTGGATACAAGTCTCTGATTTATATATTCTGAGTATGTCCTCCCATATTATGACTTGCCTTTGTTTCCTTCATAATTATGATTTCCAAAAGGAGAGCCTTTTAATTTTGGAGATATCCAAATTTTTTTTTTTTTTTTGCTTTTTGTGTTCTATTTAGGAAGTCTTTGCTACTCCAAAATTGTAAAGAGTTTCTCCTGTGCTTTCTTCTACAGTTATATAATTTTGATTTTTATGTTTAGGTCTGTAATCTACTTTGTTATTTTTGCCTATGGCAAGTTGTGAAGTCAATGTTAAGCAAAATTTTGTAGTTGCTTTCAAAATTTTTTATATTCTTTGTTTATGTTCTCAGTTTTTTCAGCAGTTTGATTACACTATCTCTAGGTGAGACAGGGACCATGGATGTAGTCAGAGTAGGGTGAGGGCCTCTGGAAGGGGCAGGACGGGATATTTGCAGTCAGAGCAATGTAACTACATGCAAGGAAACCTCCTACTAAAACTCTATGTTAAACATTGAGCTCTAGAATCATTCTTCAGTGAAATCAGTTAATGTTCCCCAGATAAAGAAGAGTAGCACATGTTTTATTATGCTAACCATTTATAATCATGTGTAAGGTTCACTTTAGCATACTAAAAGGCCCAGGCCTCTGTGCTGTCTTTCCTCCTTCAGATCTGACAAGGTGATTTTGCAAACTGAGCAACTAACTTAGCATGCAGACCCAGCTGTAGACGGCATAGTAAAAGGCAAGAAGAATTCCATCTTAAAGATAAGATTGCATTTTAACACCCAGGAAGTTCGAGAGGCAAGATTCTTTAGCAAGTAGACAATACCTCAGCCCACCTTGGGGGCTGGGCAGGCAGCCTTTTGATGTGCTCCCGGACCAAGGTGCTGGTGTCCCAGAGAGAAATCAAGGCAGGAAATTCCTTTCAGTTAAGTTAATTTTTAATATTCAGAGACCACTTAACAAGTCCCCGCCCCTAAGTATTTTCATGTTCTCGAAAAATCCTCAACTGCCTATAAAACCCCCTAGACAATGCACCACTACTGACTCTCTTGTCCCCTCCTGGCGTGAGCCGGGAGCTCTGTCCTTTCACTTTATCTCTAAATAAAAGCCTGTACCTTGCTCTCCTACCTTGACTGTTTGTGAAGCTCATTCTTTGGCTCCGCAAACAAGAACCCCGGCATCACAGGAATGAATTTTTTCCTTTTGTTGTTGTTATATCCTTTTTGGGGGGTTCAGTGAAATTCTCTCCATTGCTTTCAAGTGTATTTTCCATGACCTCATGGTATATACTTGTAATAGCTGCTTTCAAATCTTCTCTCATATTTTAAACTCAAGTTATTTTATGATTGTCTTCTGCCAATAATTGCTCACATTTTCTGGGCAATTTCTGATTATATTCTGTAAATTGTGGAATGTTTTAATGTGTAGTCTCTGAGACATGGTTATAATCCTCTAGTGAGTGTTAATGATTTGGTTAGAACACACCTGTATAGGTTCAGACTCCAAGCACTGCTTCCCTTTCTCCAGGTTGTGGTTCACATCTCAGCTGAGTTCTCTAAGCTTTACTAATATGGTTTGGGTCTGTCCCACACACACATGACTCAGAGCTGAGCCTAAGATCTGTGGGTTTATGTGGATAATTAGGGATCTCTTTCTGATCTAAGATTTTCCCTCCTTATGCTCCAGCCCCCCGGGATGTCCTTTTCCTGGTTCTTCTGGTCAGAAAGAGGGGGCTATGATTAGTGTTTCAGTGTGCTACCCTCATCTACACCAGGGGTCTGTGCTCAGGGTAAAGCCCATCACAAGAGATAAAAAGCAAACTGGGAAGCTCACTTGTGTGGTCTCTTCTTCAAGTTTTTATTTTCCTCCACAATCTGATTGTTTTTGTTTAATTTAGAGGCCACAGGTAGTTCATTTTTGTATTTTGTCTATGGTTTTAAGCTGTAAGTAGCTAGACAGGT